TTTGAATTGTGAAAATTACCTTTTTTCCGGCACCGGGCTCTGGGCTAGGCACTGTATGTATGTCTAAAGAACGGACGAGCGCGGCGAGAAGCCTAATCAGGCCACAGCACAGGCGGCATGAGAAGGTTGAGGTCAGGACACAAGGGGTCACAGCCAGAACACGAAGGTCACAGAGAGGACAGGAGAGGTCTCACAACCAGGACAAGAGAGGTCACTGGACAGGAGAGGAGGGGTCACAGTTACGACGGGAGAAGCCACAGCCAGGACAGGAGAGGCCGCAGCCGGGACGGGAGGGCTTACATGACAGGAGAGGAGAGGAGGGGGACAGGACAGCACAGGAGTGTCACAGTACAGGAGACGTCACAGCCGGGGACTGGAGACGGGTCACAGCCAGGACAGGACAGGAGGGTCACAGTACAGGAGACGTCACAGCCGGGGACGGGAGACGGGTCACAGTCAGGACAGGACAGGAGGGTCACAGTACAGGAGACGTCACAGCCGGGGACGGGAGACGGGTCACAGTCAGGACAGGACAGGAGGGTCACAGTACAGGAGACGTCACAGCCGGGGACGGGAGACGGGTCACAGTACAGGAGACGTCACAGCTGGGGACGGGAGACGGGTCACAGTACAGGAGACGTCACAGCCGGGGACGGGAGACGGGTCACAGTCAGGACAGGACAGGAGGGTCACAGTACAGGAGACGTCACAGCCGGGGACGGGAGACGGGTCACAGTCAGGACAGGAAATCACGGCTGGAGACAAAAGAATCTACTAGCTAAGACACACAGATCAGGGCTCTATGTATGTAGGGACACGGATATCGGATCGATGGGACGGATCTCGGACACGGAGTTAGTAACAAGCGCGAATTGTGTTTGACGGCCTATATCGTTGCTATGACAGCTTTGCTTAATGATTTATTCGACTCTCCATTGGGCGGCGGAAATATCGATATACCTACTCGATATTTGTGCGCATTCCTCGCTGCGTCAATCAGTTTCTTGAGTTCTCGCCTAGGTCAGATATTTTCTTTGACTCGATCGGGCGGCTCAAGCGAGAGGCATCGGCGTATGCGTCAACACTGGCGTGCGTTATGTGACAGTCGGCCTCTGTCGGATGCAAAGAAGTGGTTTGTGTGTGTGGGGGGGGGGGGGTATTTATGCATGTTGATGTATGCGTGTGCGTGTGACTTCACCTGTCATTGGGCGTAAGCCTGTTGGTGATTTATGAAAATACAAGAAATACAAGAATGGCTTCAGCTAAGTGAAGCCTGATGCAAAAAAAATGTCGTCTGAACTACTCAACCTACTTAGCCACGAAGCATATTGCGAACTGTAACGACAATCACCTAGCCCGTTGCCGCATGGATCTTGGTTCGACAGATTTCCAGCTAAGTGTTAAATAAAGTGAGAGACAAAGACGTACCGATCATTGCTGAGCTGTCGCTCGGGATGTCACGCTCGCCTTCCAGTGTGTTTCCCTGTAGTGACGAGCTCCAAACAGACGGAGCTATTGACATAAAGCTCTCGCAACAGGACAACGCAGACAACAGCTAACGAGCCGGGCTGCTATGTCGGCCCAGGTTGCCATCACAACGTGCGAGTAACGCAACGGCCAACGCCCTGGAAGATATCGGGTGGAGACTTCCACTGGCGTCCAACTGGCGTCTAAAGCAGACGTCCGAGTTGGCGTCTAACTTGGCGTCTAACTGTTGGACGGAGACTTCCAAGCTAGACGCGTCTAAATTTAGTCGTCGCCAGGTAGACCGCAGCGGCCGTCCAGACGCGTCTAAGACTTAGAAGCGTCTAGCTAGACGCGAAATGGAAGTCTCCACCCATCATGTCTGAGACTGGCTGCATGGTATGAGTGCATGATGAGTATTCAGGTACGCTGCACAATTTCAATGATTAGTTTTACCGGTGGAAATATAGTAACATATCCTGAATGTCTGTGTCATGGAATAACTCTATCTCCTCCAACGTTTCCTCGTAACCGACGGGCTTAGTTAAACCGCGCCCCACTGGGGGGGGGGGGGGGCTATTCATAGCCCCCTCCCGTTTTTCTGCAATAACCTCCAAACCGCTTGACGTATCGACGCCACACTTTCAGTACCTTCGGCTGCATCAATTTAACACCTTGTGTCAAAATATAAACTTCGTAGCTACCATAGGTCGGCTTGAAATGACGTCAGAGTGACGTCATGTTCGGCCGATTTCGACGCAAAACATTGAACCACGTCAATCGCTCCCAAGAGCTCAGTTTTTAAGCTAGATCCAATTTCTTTGCATGAAAGGACTCAGAATAGACTGCGCTATCAAACTGCAATCTCGGATTTTCAAAGTTTTGAAAATTTCGAAAATGTTATATAATAAGATTCAAAATTTATATTTTTATATTTTTTCCAAAAAGTTTTTGACTTTTCGAAAAAACCGGAATATATGTGATAGGACGAATGCTACTGACTAACTCTAGCATGTTTTAGCTAAATATCTTCAAAAATGGCTAAGTTATACGCATTATTGCAAAAAAAAATCACAATTATTAATTTTTCATATCAATTTTTCAGTACGTATTTGACATCGTACACCAATATGAATAGCACCATCGTATTCCTGAGCTCAAACTGCATCCAATAGACATTTTTTTGATGAAAAATTTAAACTTCAAAATTTGACTTTTTTTACCTGAAAGTGACCTGACCTAAGCTAAATTCGACTCAAGATGACCTCGAATGACACAGACGACATCAAATTCGAAATCTATGGCCTAAATGGACCATAAAACATGCGTCACGTGACCGACGCATGATATAATATTTCCGTGACCTGTGATGACCTGACCCTGACCTGAAAATCAAAGTACAAGTTTGGTACCCTCAGGGTATCTAAAGCATCTGTTCACGAGTGTGTAAACAAAAAATGAGCCTGATCTGACTTGTAAGACGGCGGCAAGAGCCCAAAATGTGAACAAGCCAAAATGCTAATAATTTTTACTTTGACCTGACCTGTGACGTCATTGGTGACCTCAAGGTCAAAAAATTAGGTTTCGCTCGACAGTTTTTCCGGGGCTATCAGACGCCGTTTGAATTTTGACGATCGGCCCAGTAGTTTTGGAGTTAGGAGGGGGGCTATGGAGAGCCCCCCTCCCCCCCCCCCAGTAGGGCGTGTTATACGCAGACCCCAGTGGGGCGCGGGTTAATAGTTATGACGAAAAAAATCACTGAATAGGGTAAGGAGAGGTAACTTCGTGAAATCCTCAACTTCGTGATTCGCAATTGCTCAGAAATCTGAAAACTTGCAGCGCTGTCAACCATCTCATCCTGTGGGGCTCGGGCAGTAGGCGAAGTGACTTTTTAGTAAGCAGTTGTCCCTCCTTCGGTGTTTATATCCCTCGCCGGCCGAGGGGGGGAGGGGTGCCGCCGGGTGCCACCCCCAACCCATAGGGCTTTTTCGCGATAGGAGCTTTCACAGGGGAATGAAACTTGCAGGAGCTAATATCCATTACGAGTCACAGAACTTGTATATCTCGTATTTTTCCTAGAGGTCATATAAGGTCAGGTCATTTTCGTGACCTTACCATTACCTTGCCATTACCTATAGGTAAGTCAATGGGGAAAAATGAAAACTGCTATCCTGGCGCCGGGAACGATCTCCATCTATCTCAAGCACACAGAATCGTGATTTGATGCACTCCTTACAAGGTTAAATGCGTCACTTTTGCAATGTTGACCTTGCGTGACGTCATTTATGACGTCATTAGGGTCATATTAGTTTTTCGTCAATAACTCCCGATCAAATTGAGCTAGCGAGTCGGGAAAGCCATCAATGGACTCAGCAAGACCTGTCAAATCGAATGATATGCGACATGACCTACTTCGACCAAATTCGTGACCTGGGGGCGCTGACTTGACCGTGACCTGAGGTCAACACCCTAAGTTGACCTCACCCAAACAAAAAGTATATCATTCGACGCGCCTGAGCGAGTCGAACACGATGCTGCCAAAATCGCGGCTCTGCAGCCGTTTTTTTTTGCGAAGTTATTCACCAATAACGGAACCCGTACTCTGGGACACTTGACCTGACCTCAGATGTCACCGGCTGACCAAGGACCTTAAAATTGGGTATCAATCTCTGCGTCTTGTAACGACACACACGCTCGTTGTTTCCGCGACGCGCTAGCTCCACCAGGGGCGAAACGGCGAGGGGGTCGTACCCGCCCCCCCCCCCGGGCGGCGCGTATGCTCTCACGTGGGAAACGTAGAAAACCACTCGTAGAAAACCAACAGGCCCAGCGAGGGTTAAGTGAATTGAATAATTGAATTGGTAAAACGCAACGCTATGACATAACACGCCAATGAGTAGCTCGACAGATGTGATCGGCTACTGCATGAGAAAGCAACGTTACCGTGTTTATTTCATTTTTTTCATGTTCGTGTTGACATTGCTTTATGCAAATCTGTTGGTTGTTGGACCTGCAGCTCCACCTCCTCCCCGGTTCCCTTTGCTGCCATATCCCAGGGCTGCGGGCTCGGCGCCGCGCCCCTCTGCCGCTGAGGGCAGCACCGAGACCCGCCACCACCGGCGCCTCGCGCTGCAGGGTGGCTGACCTCCCAGCGCTGCCAGCCGAGCTCTCTCTCTCACTCCCCAGGCTGTTTTCCGTCTGCCGTGAGAGCTCGTCATCTCCCGACCTCCTCCGACAACTCTCCAGTGCGCCCGCTCGCCATTCATTTGCAGGTGTGTGACTCACCGCGCGCTCAGCTGATGGCCCGCTTTTGCCGCATTCCAGCCTTGGACTGTGTGACGTCATGGAGGTGGCCGAGGGGCGGGCGCAGCGGCCGCCGCTCCGGCCGCCCAGAAAGCGCCGGCCGCAGGCGCCGGCCACGGCCCGGCCTCCGCCGCAGGTGGCGCCGCCCGTGCTCCGCCTGCTGGGGCCGGCGCAGGGGGCGCCACAGTCGCCGTCCCAGCTCCCTGACGGGTCGGCCCCGCGCCCACCACCGACTGACTGCGAGGCGGCGGACCGGACGGCCCGTGCATCCCCAGCTGAGCCGTCCCGGCTGAAGCCGCCGGTGCCGACCGCCTCAAAGCCGACTTTGGCGGCGGTTCGTCGCAGCGCGTCGTCGCGGCCGCCGGTGCCGCCGCCGCCGGTCCCTCCGCGCGCGCCGCCCACCGAGGGGCACACGCGCGTGTTTCGGACCAAGTCGGCTCCGGGCGGCCACCAGGCGCGGCTGTCGGTGTTTCCGACCGCTGCCGGCACTCCGGTGGAGGTCACGGTGCTGCAGAGTGTCCCGAGTGCCGGCGGATCGGCGCCGAGTGCCGGACAGACCTCTGACGGCCCTAGCAGCCCGGAGCGCCGGGCCGCCGCCGGCTGGCCGACGCAGACGGTCACCTGGGGCTTCACCGCCTGGTCGCTGAGTCCCGGCGCATACAACCAGTATCTCCGACCGGTCAACGGACATGGCGGGTGAGTACAGCTCCAGAAGGGATGGTGACGGGGGATGTGCTCGTGCGAGGCTTGCAGTGAACTGTGACGTATGATGTGAGTGTCGGTCATCCAGGACAAGCTACTCATCAGACTGTCTGTGTTGTTGCTACACAACCGCAAATTTACCGTGTTATTTATGGGTACGTTCTGCTAGCCGGTCCTCGTCCATTCAAAGGACTGCAGAGGGTAAATCTCTGGTTATCCCAGAATCTAGTCGTAAACGCTACAACCTGCAGCGCTAATAACTCCTCAGCGTTTCTCGGAAGAAACGGAAATGGATATAATTATAAAACGCATGGCGATTCGATGAACCCTAACCCTAACCTGAAACGGTGCTAAATCAATGAAAGAAGCTGCCTTCTCCTTTCATGCGCAAAGTCCTGTGTGTTTTCTTTCGTCGATTTCCCGTTGAAGCTTTCCACAAGCTTCAATACAGCCGCGTACACCACACGCCGTTGTCGGTGCAGCGACCGCAGGTCGCCGCTGACAAAGACAACATGCCCTGGGGCCTGGTGACATCAGCGGTTCAGCACGGCGGTGCCGCTGCCGCTGCGTCAGGAGTTTCGGCAACTTATAGTGTCCGGTGCAGTGTTGACGGCTCGATCGTATGCGCCAGTCTCAACTGCATCTGACTGACATCTGCATCTGACAACTGCATCAAATGAGCGAGTCCTACACCCAGAATACCGAACACCGCCTGCGTCCAAAGCAGGCGGGACTCCCAAACAGACCCGTCCGATTTGGCGATATGGAGGAGGCCCAGAGTGACCCATCCCCCGTTTAGTCTGTTTATGGTGACGCTGCCGCTGGGTCCGTCGAGCCATCTCTGGCGGTGGAGCCGGGGTGGATCTGCATCTCTCAGCGCCGAGCGACAGGGCGCGCATTCAGCGCAGCGCGCCGGCCGCGGAGGGCGCGGCGCCGGGTGTGCGGGAGCAGGGTGTGCGCTGAGCGCCGCTGCAGCGCCGTGCAGGCCGCACCAGTGCAGTGGTGCTCCGCTCCACCGGCAGCCGGCGCCGTGTCGGACACCGGCGCGACGGCGCACCAGTCGCCGGTGACCCGGCCGCAGGGTCAGTGGTGACCGGGCCGCTCCAGCCCGTTGACGGTGTGCCTGGACAGTGGTGACCAGCTGCATCAGTCGCTAGTCACCCTAGAGCTGGCCTGCCACGAGCGGTTCCGGCCAGGCCAGAGTTCGACAGTGCTCGTGGGAGAACACTGATCAGAAGAACACCGGTCATTGGAACACCGTGACCGGTCATTGGAGCACCTGTCATTGGAACACCGGTCAGCGGAACATCGGCCAGTCTGGAGTGCGGACAGATTGTCGGGCCGGACGGAAAGGATTGCGCCGCCGCCATCCTCCCCGCCCCACAGGACAGGCGAAGAGCGGAGAGCGCAGCCAGAGCAGCCGAGTCCCCCATTCAGAGGAACGGTCCTCCCGTCACTGATCAGTGTTGCCAAGCGTGCTTTCGGGGGAGGCATTATCGTATAACACGTCTGGCGAGGCGTATACGTACAGCTGCGGGACAGGCGGTGGGCCTTTTCATAGGCGAATGCGACGGCCGACAGAGGTGAAAAAATGTGCCAACTCTCCAACCGGTGTTGGAGACAGAGTCTCTCCAAAAAGGAAGGTTGTCGGAGACACAACCACTTTCAGTTTACCTATTCTCCTTTCTCGTTGTTGCTTCTAAGTTCTTCACATTTTTCTCTCATGCACGCAAAAATTTCAGATATATTGAATCTTACTTCATCACGAGAACTTCATAGCACTATCCATTGGCTGCTCCGGAGACACCGGAGACAAAAGGTGGCAAGAAGGTGATGACTCAGAGCCGGCCGCCGAATCCATAAAGACGATTCTCTTTGACGCTTGCCGCTAAACTAGACCTTACGGCTGTCTCCGGAGACACGGAAAAATTTCAGTAGCGAAAACGTTAGCACGAATCTTGCGCACTTGTGACAACGCGGCGCAGCTTCTGAAAATGCCGTTGGGATCGTTGGGATAGAAGCGAGAGTAATGTGTTTGAAGCGACGGTAGATACCAGTTGAATCTACAAGGTAAGAGGAAATAGTGGAGTTTTAAAGCAAAAGTATATTATATATTGTAGAAAATCCATTGTGCCATTGATGTTTATTGGCTAATGCAGAAACGATCGTTTTTCTTTCATTTGTTTTATATTCCCATGGTTAACAGTTCAGAATTTAGGTCTGGGTGACTGAACTGAAGCATGACTGCATGTAAAGTTGGTGCAATACATTAATTGCTTTGTTATATCTACATATACTTTAAAAGGAAATATAAAGATAATGCTATCCCAAACATCATATTTGAACAGGTTGTGTATGGATTGTAAATCCTCTATACTAGCAATCATTTACCTACATCTAAATATTTTACAATTAAATTGCTGAAAAAAATCCTATCACTTAGGCAATCTTGCTGCTTTGATGACAGATGAAGACAGCACAAGGAGCTCTAGCAGCACATTTGCTTATATCAGGTTGAGCTATGAGCAAAACAATTACCATTTCTCCTTAAAAACTAAATTTATTCACAACTTAAGAAGCAGGCTGAAATGATCAGACAACCTGAAGTGATGTCTGTTGTTGATTGTACTTCCATTCTTTGAATTTTTTAAGGATTCAAAATAGATTAAGTCATTAGTAGGTAAGGTATTCATAAATCATATGTTTGTAATTTATAAGGCTTGATGTTTGGACTTCAGAAATAGTCTCTTGTCTTATAGCATCAGCCCATGATGCCTAAAACTTGTGTCTATGTACCTACTCATTTCACAATAAAAATGGTTTGATATTTGCAGATTATAGTGAAGAGCCTCAATGCAGGCTAACAACAAGCATTTGCCTATAGTATGGGGACTATTCCTGACCTTTCTGTTGGAGATGAGGAGCAAATGCTGCAAAGTCATCATTTTGCAAATAGGAAGGTATTCAATCTTGGTGGTTAAAGAGGCACCCATCTGGCACTTTTCAGGTAAGGTCAGGGAGCAGTTTACATAACTATGTGCGTGCATCTCAATGATTGAAACAACCAAAGCCTGACATTGGTGCTTTTTATTGTAATAATGCTATTTTCATTTTGGTTTATTTTCATACCAGCATCTTCATGGCAGATTCAGCATTTATTTATAATTGTGTTTGTCAATTTTGCTTTAAAATAGTAGGGATATGCGATATGACGTTCTCATTATCTATGCTAAGTTCATTTGAGTAACCAATTCAATCTCTTTCATTTCTTCATTTCTCTACCCCCTGCCAACGGTGGCCATGGCCATGGCGGCTGATGGCCTCGGGCCGGCAGCAGCGCCACCTGCTTTGAAAATCGGACCCCGAAGGACGCCCGGCCCGGCCCGGCCCGGCCGGCGGACCGGGCGACCGGACGGCGGGGGAGGGAGGGGGAAGGGGTCCCGACGACGGCAGCATTGAAATAGACTAACAAAATTCTTAAGAAACACTTTATCTCGAATATTCGGGAGACATTTTAAGGCAGGCGTGACGTTATTCAAATAAGACTCGCTTTTTATTGGAGAATTGGTAGGCAATAGGCATTTGCACGTTACTCATTCATTACCCTTCTGTTTTGAAATAATAACCGGTCATTATGACCATAATTACGGTATTAGCCTGCTTTGTCTGTCTTGGGTGTACACCAAAATGTTGGAAGCCTAGCTAGTAGCTAACGTAAATTTCTTCTTAATTCCAACGATTTGTTTGAACAATAGTCCTTTCAAAAGCTGACACTTGCGTCCGGCTTTGAACTAGTTTAAAATATAAACATTCAGATTTCATAAGTATTACTGATGCAACAAAATAAGTTAAACATTTTCATTACCTTGCCTATATGTAGATGAAACAGAGCAGCCGCCAACACCCACGTCCAGCCGATCTCCTCACAGCCTCCACACTGCTGCCCATTGCCCAAGGACCGACCGTAACATCTGTGTGCCATAAAATGGAACAACGGCGTCTTTCATCAGGCGGACCCCAATACGGACGCCACGCGGATCGTCCGTAATCGAACGCTTGGTACAGGGCCACTGTCGCATGGCTTAGTTCGATTTTGTCTGGTCTGATACAAGTTCTACAAGCATTGGCAAAACATCGGTGCAATAGCTATGAGCTCATGTCTCGATTTAAGGATGAGGGTGAAAGCCGGTAGCGAAATCCCAGGTGCAGTAATAAGTACAAATATACACTTCGCATTTTTGCTCGAGACATTCGTGACAGCTAAGTTTCAAATGCTGGCAACATATCAACACTGCCAGTCTTCCAGTGGGTATTGGTGGGCCCAGATGGCAGAAATATATATTTTGACGGTATTAAAGGTGACACACTACCCAAAAAGCAACCCTGAATTCAAAAACCTTACATTTCCACTTTTTAATGTTTTTTTGTGTGCTTTTGAAAATACTCCACCTTTCTTCTACCGAAACTTGGTTGTCTTTCATAGCTAAAAAAAAGCTGGAAAGGTTGAATAGATAAAGGCTTTTCGTGTAAAAGTTTTCGATTTCTCTGGAGACAGAGTCAGTATGCTAGTTCATTCAGTTGGAGACAGCCTAGACATTTTTTTCACCTCTGACGGCCGACGGCCCAACTATACTTTGGCCAGACCGGTAACAAGCCTGACTGAACAGAAGCGGCTGTGCCGAGAACGCAGTCATAGAGCGTGACCAGTCAAAGTACCGCTAACGACAGCCCATGGCAAAACAGCGGCAATAGACTGTGACCGGTCAGAGCATCGTCAACGGGAACCCACCGCACACTTTCAGCAAAGTGTCAGAAGTCAGCGTATCGTTAGCGCTCACCGTCTCCCGGAACGACTGCGACAGGCAGCCGCCAGTTCTCGGAGGCACCGCGTCTCGGTGTCTCCGATCGTGTCTCTGGATTGGGACTGTGATAACCGAGCGAAGAACAGCATTGCATCATGTCTCAGGAGACCAGCCGGTCTTTCAAAATGGAGC